TAGTCTTACACGGTCTGCAACACCTACTGAAGGAGGCTGCTGGCATCCCTACCTTAGAGGGGACCCCCTCCACTCTTCCCACTCCACAGTCCCCAGCCTATCCATTGAACTACTGAGTCCTAGCATGCGGCTCAGGAAATGGAGAAGCTAGCTAAGTGTGTGTTGGAGTCATGGAAGAATTGAGTTCTAACTGGAGGCCCGTGATTTTAGCAGGACAGTTTTAGAGAAAAGGTGGGTTAGAGGTCACTATTCAGCTCTCCGAGGAAAGCAACACAATGAGGAAAGGCAGACAGGTGGGAATGGGTGGGTGGTGAAGACTAAGGCTCGAGAAGGGGAAGGGGACAGGCGGAGAGAAGATGATAGAGAAGACAGCTTCTGTGGCTTGGTGAAGATGAGACTCCACAGACCCAGGGACCAACCAGCATTAAAACCCAGCTGGGATCATTTACTCTCTGCAAAGTGTGGGAGTTCCTATTTCTCCAACAGTCTCTCTTCCAGTGTTCCAAGGTCCCTGATATCTAGAGGATAATGTGGGGAATTCTATTTGGAAAATGGGATGTCAGGAGGATGACCACATACTGAGATGTGGGCTGGGCGCATTGCCCATCTGGGAGAGGAGCTGCACTTACAGAAAAACAGATGGGCTCTCCCTCAGCTGGCCCCAGGGTCAGAGATCCTGCCTGTCTTGGCCTCTGCACTTTTGTGAATCAGCTGACAAATGGTGGTGGTGGGCCTTGGAGACTGTTCCAACTCACAGCCGCCCTGCATAGGGTTTCCGAGGCTGTAAATCTTTATGGGAACAGAAAGTCTCATCTTTCTCATGCAGAACTGCTGGTAGTTTCGAACTGCTGACCTTGAGGTTAGCAGCCTGACTCGTAACCACAGACTGGTACACAGATGAAAATCCAACAACACTAGTGCCAGGAGGAAGTATAGTTTTTTGAATCCAGGCTAGTGAGCCAACAAGTTGACTATCGGGTCCCCTTTCCTACTTCTTCCCCCTCCCCATCCCTATGGTGATGGGAAGATTTGGTCTTTTATGGAAAAGTCTTCTGCAGCTCTAGTCCCCAGATGGAGGCTGTGTTTGTGTGTGAGTGTGTGTGTGATAGAATGTGCGCCAAGATTTGGATGTGTTTGGATACAAACTCAAGCTAGTTCTGTTGGGCTTTTCAAGCTCATTTAGTGTGTTGGCACCACCACAGTTATCTGATTATCTTGAAATTTGGATTTATTTTTGGGGGTAGAAAACAACACTAAGTGGATATTCTGCCAACATAAATGATTTATAAACTTAATATGGGGGAAAAAAAAAAAGGATTCCAAAATCGTTATGTACGTGATCAACAAACACTGAAGGGTGTACGAATTAGCATTTCTCTTTATTCTCTCATTCCAGAACTGCACCATGGACACTCTGGCGGAAGCAAATGGCACCTTTGCCATCCGTCTTTTAAAGATACTATGTCAACAAAACCCTTCGCACAATGTGTTTTATTCCCCACTGAGCATCTCCTCAGCTCTTGCCATGGTCTTCCTGGGGGCAAAAGGAGACACGGCTGCCCAGATGGTCCAGGTATGAGTGGCTGTCAGAGGAACACGGCTGGCTTCACTCATCTTCTGTCGTTCATCTAGCTGTGTACCTCATCCTTTAGGATGCTGATGAGGGTGAACCTGGGCAGTGAACCTGTGTGGTGCGTGGGAATGTGGGCACTCATTTACAATGGGGAGGGAAGTGGAGCGGGGAAGCTTCATTAATGAGATAGTCTGGAACAAGCACCAGAATTTGATTATTTCTTTTGACTAGCACTTTATCTTTGTTTAGAAAATGAAACCAAAATTATTTTAAACTTAAGATGCACAAATCTCTTTCTTTTTTGAGCAAATTATTCCTTGGTAAGGCACACTTCTTGTTGTAGTTAGGTGCCATTGAGTTGGTACCGACTCACAGCAACCTTATGCGCAGCAGAATGAAACACTATGCGATCCTGGGCCAACCTCACTACTGTTGCCACGCTTGAGTCCACCGATGCTGCGACTTGGCCAATCCATCTCCCTTTTTTCCCTGACCCTCCACCTTACCAAACATGATATCCTTCTCTAGCGACTGGTCCCTCCTGACAATATGTCCAAAGTATGAGAGATGAAGTTTGGCCATCTTGGCCTCCAAGGAGCACTGTGGGTCTATAAGCTAAGTACTGGACTGCTAACCACAAGGTCAGCAGTTCAAACCCACCAGTGATTCCACTGGAGAAAGATTCTGTAAACATTTAGAGTCTTAGAAACTCTGTATAGGGTCACTATGAGGTCAGCAGTTCAAATCTACCAGTCACTCCATGGGAGAAAGATGAGGCTTTTTGTTCCTGTAAAGATTTACAGCCTCAGAAACCCTACACAGGGTGACTATGGGTTAGAACTGACTCAGTGAGAAATGAAAACCAATCAGTTATCATTCCTAGAGTCCTGGTATAGCATTGCAGGATAAGGAAAGCACTAGAGCACGAGGTCAGTTTGAACCACAAAGTTGGTGATTCAAACTCACCAGGCACTCCTTTGACGCCCTGTACAGGGTCACTGTGAGTCAGAGCCAACTCTGTAGCACACAGCCACCACCGCCACCATCATGAGTTTGGACGGAAGGGTAAATTAGTATCTACTTCAAGTTGATATACCAACTTGCCTCTCCAGCTCAGTCAGCTAATAAGGCAGAGAAGTATGCAAACTGGGATAAAAGGACATTGCCACAATTCTATAGAGACATGTATGAATGATCACAGACAAGGGGGGCTTCAAAAAGTTTATGAAGAAACTTCATTATCTTCTCCAAGCCCCCTCATATGTCGACATGTGCATATACAATTAAATATATGGATGTGTATATGGACTGGTAGTTAGCTCAGGCTAGCAAACTTTTAACTTGGAAATAATTAAGACCAATCCCTGGTCCCAAGGGGCTTCTTACAGAGTGGCTCTGACCAACTCCATGACTGTGTCCTTCGGGAGCTGGAGCCCTGCACATTCATGGTGGGAGTCTCCCATTGCTTTTTTCCCCAGTGTGACTTTCTTTCCCTTTCAGGACCCTTTTGAGCAGTTTTTACTCATTTGATTCATTTTCCAGCTCATTCAGTGACAGAGTAGTGTTTTTTGTGGAGAGGACAATTCTTTTTA